TACTTATGGTTACAGAAACGTTGTTAACAAAATAAACCTGAATAAACTGTCCCAAATCTCACCTCCTTCGGCGTCCATTTCCTACTTTTCCTGATAAATGTTAAAATAAAAAAATATTAAATTCTTAGGTTTTCGCGATTGTTTCCTATGTGTATAGAAAATGAAACTATTTTTCCGGATTTAAATCGCGTATATTTGTTTTTTCAAACAAACCGACGATTCGGGCCCTTTACAGGTCTTATGGTCACGGTTGACATTTACGGACCTGCAAAGGGCCCGAAACGTCGGTTTGTTTGAAAAAACAAATATACGCGATTTAAACCAGGAAAAATAGTTGCATTTCCTATAAAATATTAAATACAAACATACTTACTTTATAAATAAATACATTCAACACATGTCGAATACGTGTAAAGTATTTTTATTTAATTGTATAATATTAATAGTATTTGAATAATTGAACTTTTGTCAAATTATTTTTCTAATTACCTGCGCATTGAAAGTATCTTTATGAGAGTTTGTGTATGACCTTCAACGTTGTTAAACCACAAAAAACTTTTAACGCAGACAAAATTACAGTACGGGAGAAAAAGGGAAAAAGACAGGTAGAGCGATAGTTTGGTGAAATTACAGGCACATGGGACTTGTCAACTTATGTCTCAGGGTGACGGGTGCAGTGGCAATAACCCTCAGATCTTTGCGATTTAAAACTCTGTGTGGCACTGCAATTATTATGGATAAGCTTACAATCAGGCGCACGACTTGTTCGTCCCGTTGATATTATAAAAAAAAAGTTTAATAGAGCTACTAATGACAGAGTTTTACGAAGATGATGTAGTGACTAGAATTGCAGCAGATATACAGAAATAGCTTTATTTTTTCATGATTAGCCAATACTATCATGATTTTCCACAAGTAAAATCTGTTACGTGGAATTATTTAGAATGTGGACATGGCAAAGGAGCGCAAGACGGAGTCATACAGATCAAGGTGTCCATATTTATAGTAGTGTTATAGGAGATTCGTTTTGCAAATTCTTGGGTTATATCCAATCTAAAGCAAACATTTGGATGCTTAAAAATCAGTCTGAGAAACTTTATTTTCTCTGTGATAATGTTACTATTCCTAATCACGAGAAACATATTGACACGTTGATATTCCTCCATATGAAGATGTTAATACACTACAACTTCTTAGATTTTCTGGATGAGATGCGAATACAACGCTAGAGGAAATATCAAATGACATAAAAAATTTCAAGTACAATCAACTAATTTCTAGACGAATTTACAAACAGGCAACACTCACCAAAAATCAAAACACTATATTTACTAACTACTTAATTGGAAAAATAAGCAGTTTTATATTGAAGAGAAAAACATAGATAACTGTATTTTGAAAATTTTATAAAATGTATGAATGATGGTGAAGCTGACAGTTTTGGGAGGATAATATTTTTTAGTTGTAGTGATTATATATCTGATTGTTTTCAGATTATCTGATTACGTAATATCTGATTGCAGATTATATCAAGATAATTGTTTTTTGTTCCTATTTTTATAATTTCACTTAAAGATTTATTTTAGATCTCATAATACTTAATAATATTATGTTTGTTTTAATTTGTAACTCGATATTTTTTAAATGTATGACTGGAAAATAAATTTTTAATTTTTTTCTGTAGTGTAGGTAGATTCCGATCTATAGATAAATATTATGTGGTGGAGGGTAGGTTAATGTCATTCCGGAATAAACGCGAATCCGTGAAGCTGTGTTTCCTTGTGCTCCCTTTTAAATATCGAATATCCCAAATAATCGTCCGGGATATAACATTTTCTATTTTCCGGATTTAAATCGCGTATATTTGTTTTTTTAAACAAACCGATTTCGAGGCCTTTACAGGTCCCATGGTCACGGTTGACTGAGGTGGTACAGTCTTCAACCAGTTATGTCTAATATTGATGCAAACCACCCTATTCTTTCACTATAGTTACAATAGTTATTAATTAAATACCTTATTTTTAATTTTACAAAGAAAACGTTCCAATTTACGCTACATTAAGTTTTACAAACTATTTTATTGAATGAATTTTTATTAAGTTCAATTTATTATTAATTAATAATAGAAATTAGAATAAATTAAAACATATTAATTAGTACTGCAGTCTTATGTCTGTTTGGGATTTTTCATTAGAGGAAATAATGGATCCCAAACTGGTGGTACGGAGAAACCATCTCCATCAATCATCTAGAAAGAAGCAACCTCGGTATTGCTCCCATTTAAATTTGAAGAAAATATTCCACCTCTAAGAGTGGCAAACTAGGGGACGAATCCGATTTTGTGCACTTACCGGTAACCGATTTCAATAAAACTTGGCGAATAAATGTAATTCCATGCACTTTTGAGGTCGGTTTTTTAACAGAGTTCAAAAAAAGAAGAAGGTTCTCAATTCTATTGTTTTTCTTTTTTTATGTACGTTACGCGATTACTCCGGTATTTGTGAACCGATTTTGATGCTTCTTCTTTTGTTGGAAAGAGGGTACCTCCATAGTGGTCGCATTTCATTTTGAAGAAAATCATCCACCTCTAAGGGTGGCTGTTCACTGAGTTCACGCATGAAGATTATTTTTTATAAATAGCGCCTAATAATTTATTATAAGGAGCAACTATTTGATTGGTTGATTTTGCTATTCTCCAATTCAACGCGTTTTTCTTTCTCAATATATTTTGAGTAGTGAGAACCGATTTTTATTATCTCCTGTGTCAAGTTCCGTATAGTGGCGAACTAGGGGATGAATCCGGGTTTGCGCACTTTTCGGTAACCGATTTCAATAAAACTTGGCAAATAGATGTAATTCTACGTACTTTTGAGGTCGGTTTTTTTTAGTATTCTGTACTAGGATTATTAGTATTTTATACTGATCGTTATGAGATGCGGTCTGTTGTTGCATTTTTATTGAATTTAAGTTGTTATCTAGATATCGTAAATAATTGTTTATTTTTATTACATACAATATAAATAATTGGTTTGTGTTTGTTTATTACTGTGTTTGTAGCACTCCAGAGTCACAGAATTGCCACACCAGATGCCAACAATTCTTTACGTTGTTCAAATGTCAGCTAGAAGAAATCTCTATACGGAATCAGTTTGCTTTTATACACTATTTTTCTTTGTGGTACAATAAAGTGTTTACGCAGCTACATTACACGTTTACATACATACTCCAATGAATCAGTGAATATTAATGCATTATTACGAGTATGTGAAGTAAACACGCAATCGCGCATCTTTGGCTTGCAATAAAAATCGTTTGCCTATTAGGCCTTAATTAAATATAGCCTTGGTTGCACCTGCATTTTATGCATTCTGAGGTCAACTGAGCACGAACCGTTCGCTTAGCTCAAAAATAAACACGTTCACTTTTGTCTCAATTACTTATATATAGATTCCCTTTGTGTAAATAGTTATAGTTACATAGTGTAACTACTTATATAAAATTGTGTGATCGCTCTAACTTGTATCTAAACTTGTGCGATTAATTTGCATTACGTTACTGTAGGTAAATACTGGTACTTTTCTATATAAATACATCACGTTAATCGAATTGCATTTCTCTGCTCTCTTCACTATTAATTACGTATATACAAAAATAATTTAGTTAAGATTACGCACAGAAAACAGCATTTTGGGCTTTACGATTTGGATAATCTAATCGTAAGGCATAAAGTTAAATTTAACGTGACGTTGCGTTGTCCATACCTACCCACTGTGCCTAAAAATAATTTTGTGGGTCTTTATTATTTCTCAATTAATCACTCAATGAGTATAAAATACAAGTAAAAATCAAGCACTGTAATAGCCACAATATTATCGGCTAAGTATCCTGCATGTACCTAAGAAGGAACTCCAGCCAGAAGTAACTCCAGTTCTTCCGTGAGTAGTTCGCCATAATGTCAAACTGAACCGTGGCGTTCTTACACGTATTTGTGTGTTCCTGTCAGCATGAAATATTAATAAGCAAACTCAAAATCTAATACGAAAGCTTTACTTTCTCACATTGACTCCCAAAATACCCGGTGATTAACATAACCTGCAGAAGCCTCTAAAATTACTAAACGGAAAACTCGATACAGGCGAAATCCAAAAAGGCACCGCCAATAAGGTAAAAAAGAAGAAGAAGAACTTTAACAACTGTATCAACATCGCATTGCTGAGTACGCATCTCTTTTAGAAAACATCCTTAAGATGGAGTTTCGGACATAACTTACCACAAGCCCATAGAAATTTAACTATGTTATAGATACATCATACAATAATACTATTTCTGGATATGATTATCATGCATAGAAGCGCAGCTATAAAGGTCACATCAAATAGGGCACCTAGTGGAGGAGTAGATAAATTGCATTATGATAAGGTACAGACACAACAAGATTCTAAATGAATTAGGTATGCAAAATTATTCTTATTCAATTAATGAGTTTACGAGCAAATACTCGTGAAAACTATTAATGTAAAAGTTCTGCACTCTTTGTTGCATTGATTGAACATTTATTAAGCATAAATAAAACACAAATAGGTAATACATTTGATAACAAATCGTGCACTTTTATAGGGTAATAAATAATTTGTGGAAGGATATCAAGCCGAAGAATCATTCTCTACGTAGGTAGGTACTACCAGCTCATACTTTGTGACTATGTAAGCTCTGGTTTTTACCATTTCTATAAAACTAACTCATTGAATTTTTGGTCGAAGAGTAACTAGTGTATGGGAAACTTAGTAAAAAAGTCAAGGTTAATGTTAATATTAGAGTACAATTTCCCACAAAAACTAAACGTTAAATTCCTTTCACGGTGTTCTAAAGGTGCAGTTCAGTAACGGATTAGAAACAAAGCGTATTGCTATCGATCAGATAACAAGACTTTTTGCATTATTATAACTTGAGATTCATATGGGCAACGCATGATAAGTTCATTTTAGCTTAAGACTCGGGCTGGTGTGCTTATGCGACGCGGTAGGAATAATAAGTGTTTATTTAGGTACAGTAAAACTCAAATAACGGTTACTTTAGAGAGCGGTGAACGTTAGGTACCTTCAATATCACTGATCTGGTGAAACGTGTTCTTCAGTCTCCACATGATGTTCAGACTATGTCTGGTCATTTTAGGTATGTGTTTATTGTTTTATTAAAACTTGAACGTTTATTGTTTAAGTAAAGTTGTTTTAGTAAATTATTATTATTATAAAGCCAACGAAATAGATGGAAACCACCCGTAACGGTACTACGATATTAATAACTTATTTTCTGATTGAGGAAGTAGGTACATGCATGTTTTCAAACATCTAGTTAAAATTAAACAGTTACTAACAATAAATTAGTCATACACATGTAGGTATAGCTACATCCCGTTGATTGGTTCAATTATAACTTGTCAATGTAAATGCCTATAATAATTATAGTGTGTATTACATTATCTGTGTACAAACTGTAAAGTCCTGTATTGGAGTACAATAAGTTTATTCTTTATACCTTTAGTAAGATTTTAAACTTAAATTATCGTAAACCAAGTTGCGAAATAGTTGTCTAAATAATATGGTATACTTAGCGGTGAAATGCGCAAACATCTTTTAGAGCGAGTTAGTGTTTTTACATATTTATAAACAATTTATGTTTGGAAATATCTCACTATATTTTTTTAAATGCGACGCAAATATCTTTATAAAACACATTAAAAATATTGAATGAACAACCAAACGCATGAATTATTACAACTTTGACAGCTGACGTATCAGTGCGTATTAACCTACCAATATCAGATGGTAAGGTTAAACGAGAATGCATCCCAAATTCTGAGTCATTTATAATATCTTCGGATAATTGTTTTTATTATGTACGGAGCTGAAATTTCTTTGTGTTTATTCCCGATATTTTGAATGAAAAGAAATCTAATACACTTGTAATTATGTTAAACATGGATCAAGCGAGAAAGGCATCTACAAACTGCATAGTCGAAGGGCGAAATAACTCATTAAAGTTTAATTTCGGATGACATTGTTCCGACTTGACTTGTTGTGACTTCCAAATTCAAGCAAATAAGTGTTTTTTAAACCAAGTGAATTTTCAGAAAAGTGGTAGTCCTAAAATTTTTGCGTTTTGTAGGAAGTTCTTTTCTTTGATTTCCAGCTATAATTATGAGTAACGACACAATTGCGCAGCAAATGAACTTAGAACACTGGATGAGGGACCTGCCAGTACAATTAAAAGATGTACCACTGATTTATCTTGCTATACCAGGTATAAGCTTCTTTTTCTTTGTTATAACAAAGGGCTTTGTGTTCAATGAAATTTTGCATTTAATGAGGCGACATTACATTCTTAAGAAACCTGTTAAACAAGTTTTGTTAAGAATTTATTAAGGACAGATCTTTCAAATTGCTCATTACAAAAATGCCGTTACTAAATAATATAAAAGAATATATTGAATTCTTTGTAGAAAATAGTATAGTCCACAGGTTTAAATAAGGAGATTTGGGATGTACCAACCTGAAGGAATCCCCATTATTTTTTATTCACTGCAAATTTGTTTTGTTCATTATTACTATACTGACAAATACTACATAAGACAGTATTTCCTCAAACCTCTAGTGGTTTTTTAGTTGTGACTGAAAGAAACCTTAAATATTCATATACTAATTTTGAGTGATCTAAGATAACACATTATATACATAAATCCAACAATTTTTTTTACAGGTAGCCATGATTCTATGACATACAGTATAACACGTGCTAGTGACCTAGCTCCAGATGCTGAGCCAGCTGTAAAACGCCTGTACCCTCTGTTTCGAGGTACGATTTTACGCTGGACCATAACGCAGTCTCTAGATACCTTGCAGCAACTGCTCATTGGCATTAGGTACCTTCCAAGTACATTTACTTTTAAATTGAATCACTTTTAATTTTAAATATAATATATATACATAATAAAAAAATTTACTTCAAAATTTTTTCACAAACTGAGAAATATGATGGTTTATATCAACTCATTGTGCATTTTATGTAAAGACAGACACTGTATAGATGAGCAACACACAATTTGCTTTAACCTTCCCAATACAGGGGCAAGAAATAAACTAGCACAATTTTCAGAGTATATTGAAAACTCACAAAACAAATAAATGGATACCTTTCCAACCTGGCGTCCGTATTAGTAACATTGAGTAAATGAAAATACACCAAGTAAGCTTAAAAAATAGTGTGACAGTGCAAAATGCAAAAATAGGGGCGTGTGATGTTGCCAAACCGTCTTCAGTACTTTGTATGCGAGATTACGTTAGTAGTAAAGTGAGACATTATTTAGGTAGTAGATACTTGCATTATTCTAAAAATATATTAATACTAGTATTCGAGAAACAGAAAACGAATATTTGGTGGTCTTAACCACTCCATGTCATTCCTTGTGTCAATATGTAGACATTTATTTACTTATTTGGAATACCCTTTTCCGACCATGGACTTATTACAACAGTATGGTGATGTCATTATATGTACTCATGCTTATTAAAATATACCATGCTCAAATTATGAAGTTTTTAAGGACTATGAGAAAAGCGTTATTTGAATTGAAATCTGAAGAACACTTGCATGCAATTGCCCTGAGCACAACAAGAAGTAAAGACTTAATAGTGTCTAGCAATTTGCCTATAGGGTACAATAAGTAAGGAAGCTTTCCATTTGAAGTAGATCCAATAGTATAATAATTATCTAATATTTTAAATAAATTAATTTTTATATCATATTCTTTACAGGTATTTCGACCTAAGGCTTGCCACAAAAACAAATTCAGAACAATTTTTCTTTACTCACGGTGTGTACGCAGACGAGATATCGAAGGCACTGAACCAGGTCAAGGAATATGTTTATTCGCACCCTGAAGAGGTTGGTTTAAAGTTTGATATCTAATGACATACATCATTTCCTTCCACAGATCCCCACTAACGTAGGCGTAGTACTAGTATTTGCAACACAGTGGGGATGTGTGGAAAAATCCAAGATATTATTTTACCTATTATATTATAATTTTTGGGGACAGATTCGTGGCTTGCTGAAAACACCTATATTGCTTTTTAGCGCCAATGTCACGTCAAAACAAAGTATATTTTTAAGCTTAATTGTAAACATTGATACAATTTAGTAGCATGTATAATATATTGTTTGTTATACTTTTTTTTTCTATACACAGTAATAAAAAGAATGCTTTTAAGTACTGTAAATCCCTGTATTTTTGCATGAACCTTATTATTTTTTAAATGCGTAGTTTGTTAAAAAAAATAATTGTCTCCACACAATATTAATCAGCTGTCTAACATTTTGTATACAAAAATAAATATTTGAACTTAATAAGGTTATAGATAGATAAGCTTTTTGACGACAGTTCTATACTCAAAATAAAATTATAACAGTTCCAGAAAATTATATAGAAATATATTAGAAATTTAAAAAAAATAAAGCGCCGAAGTTGTATTATATTTATTCGGAAGTACTTACTACTCCAACGAATCGTCTCAGGTCCCGAAGGAGGTGTTCAATATGGTTTATAAGAGTGGTCGTTTCCCTGCACACTGGCTAAAATCTGCTTTTATCACTATACTCAAAAAACCAAATGCAAAGTGCTGTGAGGATCACAGAACAATTTAAGGAGCCATGCCCTAAAAGTATTCCTAAAGATCATTCATTCTCGTATCTATCAAAAGTGCGAAGAATACATATCAGAGACACAATTCGGTTTCAGGAACGGTTTAGGCACTAGAGACGCTCAGTTCTGTCTTAATATCTTACTTCAAAGATGTTTGGATATGAATAGAAAAATCTATTTATGTTTTATAGACTATGAAAAGGCGTTTGATAGGGTTCGTCATGAACATCTGATGCAGATTCTGGAACATATTGGAATTATTAATAGAGTTATAACCAATCTGGACTGGGCCCAGAAAGCAATGGTAAAAGTGGAAGACCAACTATCCAAAGAAACTGAAATCAAACGTGGCGTAAGACAAGGGTGCATATTATCACCTGTTTTATTTAATGTGTATGCAGAGAGAATAATGACGGAGTCTCTACATGAAGTCCAAGAGGGTATAGTGATAAACGGAGAAGTTATTAATAATATACGCTACGCAGACGATACTATACTGATTGCGGAGAATATTGCGGACATACAAAAACTACTGAATCGTGTAAACGTAGCAAGTAACAACTATGGATTAAAAATCAACACAAAAAAGACAAACTTCATGATCGCATCTAAGACCCCAGTAGCGAATGAATACTTGACTTTAGAAAATAATGCAATAGAACACGTACACCAATTTAAATACCTCGGTAGCGACGTAAATGAACACTGGGATAGCTCACACGAAGTTCGTATTCGCATCGAATAGGCACGAAGTGCCTTCATGAAAATGAAAAATATTTTATGCTGTAGAAGGTTACACCTTAAACTTCGTATGCGTTTGGTCCGCTGTTATGTCTTCAGTATCTTGCTGTTTGGTATGGAGTGTTGGACCTTCAAAAATGAGCATAGCCATGATGGTCGCCAACCTTCGTGGAGAAGTGGCACACTAAGAACACTTTGTATGTTTTTTTTTCAAGTTACTAAGTTGGTCCGTTATTGTACAGCAGTTGTTCAGCTTCGTATATAGAATATAAGGGTTTTTGGTTGTCCAATATTTTATTTTCAAAAACTGTACAGACTTGATTGGAAATACTTAAACGATAATTAATTCTAATACAAAGGATATTCAATCCAAAATCACTTGGCCACTATTTTGCAAAAGCTTAAATTCGCTACCGAATAAATTACATGAGTGTGAAAGAAACTGAGAGAACCACTAAGGAGAATTGTGTTCGCACTTCGCATCAAAACAGTGTACCTACACAATTATAAACATTTATTTTTTATATCATATGTTTTTATTAATAGATTTTTTGTGTGAAATGTGAAAAAGAATCCTTGAGAAAGTTGGGTCGCACTTTATTAACGCAGGATAGGTCAGCTCAAGGGTTACAGTTCATTGATAACTTTTTGTCAATCGAATTTTCTATACCAGCTAACTTTCATATTGATAAAAGTTTAGGTGAGTATGTTGCAATTAGTTTACATTCCTACCATTAATGAGATGTTATAGACCCGAAAAACTTAGGTACTAAAACAGTATTGTTACATAAAACAATGGCAAAATAAGAAATAATCGTACGTAATTATTTAATAAAAAATGAATTCTAATGAATTTTATTATAAAAAACACAAAAAAATAATTATCCATGTTTTAGGATAAATACTCAGTGAAATTGGACATTTATTGAATATTTATCTTTTGACGAATATTTATCGGGTAAAAGTAGGTAACTCATCTATAACAATAATTGATTTTAATATGGAATTATTCATTCGATGAATAGACAAAAACACCTTATGCACGACTTTTTTGTTAAGCATAATAAACGAAGTGTTTTTTCAAAATTCGGGTCGATTAAATTACTTCTTTACCTACAGGTTCAATTTACAAATAAGAAATTAGTCGACGATTTCTTTCATTTCTACGTTATAATTTACTACGAACACAGTTTTGTAGAGTGGTTCGAGGTTGATATTGCACTTAATTTATTAAATTTGCCTTAGTTCAATGATTTTAATACGTAATTTAATGAATGTTAAACTGTTAGAATTTTTAAATTTTCAGCTGTTTTTTACAAAATCTCATCGAGTATACAGGTTTGATGAATTTGTAGTCATCGTCCAAACTTTCATATTATGATGATCTTTAGTAAAAATATAACATGCGCAAATTTTCCTTTTAGTGTAAATCAATACTAAAATTAAGATATGCCATCGCAAAATTGTTTTAAAAAATTGCGCGCGTGTGGACAGCCTACTCGATATGCGCGCTAGGCCACCCCCCGCGTCATTGATAAAATACATAAGTTGCAAATTTTCCCTTCGTACTTTCACGGGCTTAGGACCGTCAAGTTACAAAAGGCTTTTGTGATGTTATTTTAGAATGTAGACAATTAATTCGAATTCAAGTCAAGATTTTGTTACATTAACGCACGAAATCGAGAGCGGTAGTTATTTATAAGTAAATTGTTTTAGAGGTTTGACAAAATTTAATGATATTATTACAAAATAATGATAAAAATAATGCACCTGATAAACACACCTAATTAGGAAAGTTCGTTTCCCGAACTTAACTTCTACGCATTTAAAGCGTTGTGTTACCGAAGGCCATCGAAGAATTTACTTATTGAATTTCAAAGTCACTAAAAATTTTACCATGTGTAGAGAACAAAAGAAAATAATCTTTACTTTTGTTTGTGAGACAAACAAATAAAAGGTTCGCTTCCTACGATGAATTGTAACGAATTAGTATTTAGCAAGTAATAAAAAAAAGAATCTTCCCATCGCCCTTTTGTTATCTACGCACGTGGTGTTTTTTATTAGTGAACTAGAAACATTTTATAATAATATCAATAAATTTAAACAAAACATCGATTTACGACAAATGTAGCCCGCACTCGTATCGTACACAGAAGTATAAAAATAAAAGCAGGCCATGCCTTTTGCAATAAGGCGTATTTAAAAAATTTGAATCAATCTATGTACATTTAATTAAAATCAAATAAAAATTACCTTAGCGTAACAACTTTAACACTATTTTAATAATTGCTCAAAATGTAAACCATTCCTCTCCAAGCAAATTCTTGCACGTTTTTGAATATTGTCTTGTATTTTGTTCAGCACTGTAGTGTCACTTTTCACTTGTGCAAATGCACTTTCAATTTTTAGTTTCAATTCGTTTGAGGCTTTGGGCCTCCTCCACATACACGCGGCGTTTAATTTCGCCCCGCAAAAAAAAGTCACAGGGTGTGAGGTCTGGTGACCTGGGTGGCCATGGAACGGAACCCGCGGCGGATCCAGCGATTCCCGTATTCCATAATTAAATAATTCCTCACGTCGATAGCGTAATGTGGCGGTGCACCGTCATGCTGATAATAAAAAGCAGGATGGTTAATGAGGGCTAGCGGTACGTCGTCCATCAAATCAGAGACTATGCTTTGTAGCATATTGAGATAGGTGCCTCCGGTCAGCCGCCCCTCAATAAAATACGGCCCTAGAATTTTATCACCGACAATTCCGGCCCACACATTTGCACTAAAACGCACTTGGTGATAATTGTCTTTTATCATAATAATATGCGGGTTGCGATACGACCACCAATGTGCATTATGTTGGTTGTACAGCCCCACACGTGTGAATAGGGCTTCATCAGTCCATAAAATGACCGCATCGGGGTGTGCGATCAGCCACTCGCAGAAAACTTGACGAGGCAGCGCGTCTGCTTCATTTAGCGTTTGCACTTTTTGAAAGTGATAAGGGTGCAATCCAGAGGTGTTGAGCAACTTCCACACAGCGTATTGGCTAACGTTGAACCGTCGAGCTGCATCACGTGTACTTCGTCTTGGATCTCTCTCGAAAAAATCGAAGCTTTCGTCTTCGATTTCCACGGACAGTCGCGGCCTACTACGTCCTTGGGCGTGTGAAGGCGTCGTAAACTGGCCATGGTCTAAAAGCTTCTGTATGACATGCAGAAACGTTTGGCGGTTGGGGACTGTAGGACTTGCTATTCCATAATTGCGAAGGCGAGGAATGCTCTCTGACTCGTATAGTCTCTGGGTTCCGTTTAGGCTTTCATCACTTATAAAATAGCACTTGACCATATCAAAGTACTCGCGGTTTGTATACATAGTGACACGTGAATGCGTTTTCAATAGCGAGATAGCGTTGCACACACGTACGAAGCGCTACACGGACGTGTGACGACTGAAGTGACAGCCGCCAATAGCGTTCGGCGCGGGCGGCGGCGGTGGCGGCATTTTGCTTTGATTGGCGTATGATTGGAGAATCCGCGCGGTTAGCGTATGGCATTCATTCATAGACGCATAGTCGTAGTAAACAATAATAGTGTAAATTGGTAACCAATTTTTGTCGAGTATTACTTCGGAATAAATATTTTCATTTTGAAAATAGACCTATCAATTTTTTTTCGAAAATGGAGTCTTTGAATGATACCTAGCGGCTGGAAAAAATTTGGACGATGACTTATAAATCACCTGTATACTCGATGCAAATCTAAACAAAATGTGATTAATAAATTTTAATTTTTTTTAATGAAAAATGACTAATGCTCTGGCCACACAGAGGCGGTCGTGGGGCGTTCTGGTTGCGGGAATTTTTATTAATATACGAATTCATACACGAACCTTGTCACACTGAAACACGCGGCGATCACGCGGCGGCGGCCGAACGTTAGGCTATGACAAACAGGCAGACCCGTTATGGGGCATTGAGTTCTATGCAACGATCCACATAGAGTGGTAGCAGCGGGCGTAGTCCGGGAGCGGACCTTTATCGAGCTTTGACGTTATATTTTTTTACAACCCTTGTGTGTGTTGTTAATATGGATTGGATCGAATTTTTGTGTGTTGCCAAAAAAAAGTCTGCATTTATTAGTATTACGGAATACTAATAAAAGCAGACATTTTTTTTTATTATTATCCGACAAAGATGTGGTTTATTCTTTAAAATCTTTGTTGAAAATCAAACGTGGCCGCTTTTGATGTCACACTTTGATGGCTATTCCGCCGCGAACTACGCTTAGGACTGCAGTGTGGCACGCCCCGGTACGCATTCGCTTTTCCCGCTGTAACGCTTCTGTGTAGCCTGAGCTTGAGACTGTACTAATATATAATAAATTTATTGCGTAATTCCAGGTGGTAATACTAGACTTCCAGCACTTCTACGGATTCACACCACAAGACCACCAACGGCTTATGAGATACCTGTTGCAGCTGTATGGCCATTCATTAGTGCCTCGGACGTTCGATTTGTTGACCGTCACTCTTAATTCCCTCAATCGACAGCGACAACAGGTACGATATGATTTTCTAATTTTTAATTTAGAGAGTCATTTAAATAGGAAAGTAGTTACTCGAGATACTGTCTATATTATTAAGAATTATATCATCAACGTACCGTTTGAAAATCTTCGGCCTAGCTGGGGCCGTGGGTAAAACTCGCTCCTCGAAATCTTCCATGAAAATATCGGCAACAACGGGGGATATTGTAGGTCGATTTGTAGGTAGAATTCATTATTCCACAATAGATAGCCAGATGTTAGGCAGTATTCTAATGATTCTGCATATTCAATGGACATATTATGTTCCCTTTAGCTTTCTACGTACAATTTCAATGCAGTCTTTTACTGGCAGGTTTGTAAACAGCGACTAAACATCAAAACTGACGGGGGGAGGGGGTAGGGGAGGGGACCCTTCGTGCAAAGTTTCAAAGTTAGGACGTTAATAGTTTTCGAGATATTAATTTTTGAAAATTCGAAAAAAATAACCTCAAAAAATCATGTTTTCACACCAAAGAGCAGGGTAAACCCTTTCCCCCGAACCCCTAGCGGGAAAAACCCTCCTCCAGACGCCCACCCGCTCGCGTGAGTGGGGAGTTAAGGACCCCACTCGCACTTCCTGTGTTATATGAGAAACTAAATTTAACCTAAAACCAGGCCAAAACGCAAAATCCTAATTGATGAATACATCAAACAGTAAACAACAACATGACGTCCTTTTTGCGTTTCGCTATTTTTTTTGCAACAAAAAATAATTGTTCAAAAATAAAAGCTTAAGTACATACTAATTATAGTAAATTTCAATGTTAAATTTACAATTACTTATTAATTTATGCTGTTTAATTTAATACAGCGAAAATTTTTTTAAATAACGCAAAAAAAACTTACTTGTTTACTTTTTGTTCAAAATGGATTGAAACGAAGTATAGTAAATCTCACTCACTTTAGGTTCGTAGTACGTCACGAGGTACTATGTTAATTTGACAAGTTGTATTTTGCGACACGTTCTAATACATTTAATATTGGTATTATGAACTAATATAAAAAACAAATATAGGTATTATGGATATCGTTTTTTTTTACAAAAACAAAATATTCAATTCGGCACAATAGTCAAACGGAATGTTGGGGAAATGAGAATCAGTAACCAGATAACTCGTCAATACGTCAAAATAGTGAAACATTAAATGGTGTAAGGAAAACAATCGTAACGTATATTCGGATAAATGAAACAAAATCTATTCAATAAAAACCGAAAAGTTTTCGGAGAAATCAAATTATGTATCGAGCTTATGATAGGTAACCAGTCGCGCGGACAACATTCAAATTGCATTCCAACTGCCGATCGGGAAAGTAGACGAATAGGAAAGTGGACCGATCGGGAAAGTAGACCGATTGTACCGACGAAGAGCTATTTTAGACAGTGGGCGCCAAAGTTTTTTAAAGTTCTTATAGTTGGGTTAATTATCACTTTGTCCTGCAAAAACCTGCTGTAAACGCAATTTGCAATCTGGGTTCGAGAGTGTCTTTGAGAGAGGAGTATAAATTATAGCGACACAGTAGATACATTAACATTTAATTTATATCGAGAAGAACAGTTTAGTTAGCTCATTCAAATTGTCACGATCTATGATATTTGAAGTAAATGTTGTAAATTATGTGTTCAATATTGTTCATTTACAACCCCTAAAGTTATTTGCTCGTTCTTCTCAGGGGGATCTGCCTCACGAGTGAGTAGAAGAGTTTAATTAACATGGCGATATCAAGTGTCATTAGCTTACTTGTGAAATATATTTGAATTCGAACTTATTCCATATTATATGATATGAACAATGAAACATTTTTTATTACGTAAAGTAATTTTGATCATTACCTACTATTCTTCTTGAAGAAAGAAAGAGACCTGTCCTTAGTATTGCAATTTAATGGTATGATACAGCAACCAGGAAACTATTAAAGAATTTAAAAGACCGTCATACAGAACACTACAAGCTACAACCATTGTCACTGTTAGAGAAAAATATTTAAAAGATTGTTATTCAACTTGCAGATCATAGTAGTATACCGCCACGAAGCCGTATACGCGACAAGCGAGTTCTGGCAGCCTCAAATGCTTCCATCCCCTTGGCCGCAGCAAGATCGCACCGAAGGTCTCATTGACTTCTTTTACAAAGTCAAACGCAACCCTGGGACCGGTTTCGTGCATCAGGCTGTGTTGACGCCCACACCTACTTTCATTGTACTACGGTTTGTATATCGTATAAGCTAGCTCTACACGGGGACTGGCTTGTGGTTGCCGTCGTATTATACAGTGTGTTGATTTGCATTCTCGCCATATTTACAGAGGTCATTCTGTATCTGAAACCGAACCCAAATCACTAAAAAAATAAATGGAAAAAAATTCGTAAATTCCTATTTTTCATTTAGTTGCGGTAAATAAATTTGATCCAAAGGTCATTGACTTGCACGGCACTTGCAAACATTTTGAACAATGACCTTCAATGCCCAGAAAGAAACGCATTTTAGATCTATTTGGTATTGGGGTGCGAGTAGCGACGGCGGGGAAGCGCGCGATTGGTAGATTGGTAGATCAGTCGACCTTGCTTCCCGTACTGTGTCTGCGTCACGCTGATATCCCACATAATTCTATTGTGTTAATATTAGGCCACGGCAAGACATTTACGGCTCCACGCACATTCTGTATAAAGCGAGCATTAAACTGTTTCATCGTTTGATACGTAACAACCGTTACGTGTTTGAAAAAGTGTCGTGTGAGTTAGTGACAATGGTAACGCCACAACAAATCGCGATGAAGGTAGTCGTCGACAGCGCAAGAGGGTAGACAGATATGTCTGCTCTTAAAGCTGTCATCTGCCGCAGTCCAGTCCGTGACCATGGAGCGTTCAACCGTTCCGAAATATCGGGAAAGTAAAAAGAAGTCATACCGTGGCAAGAAACCTGATATTAGTGATAATCATTTACTTTCACGTATATTTCGAAGATTTCGATTTGATATCTCATCACTTTTTCCAACAATATTAATTTGAATAGCATCATGAAATCGTATTTGAAAAATGGTAGTCCAAAAGTGACGTTATTTTTAATCTATACTTCTATGGCTTGTCTATGGTCGCATAGTGTTGTACAAAAAAAATTGACTCATTCCATTAAAGTTTTTGTAATCGACTAGTAAATCGAAAATTTCAATCGCAATCGAACGAGTATCTAAGTGTAAGGATTTGAAGAAGGATTCAAAATTAAGATTTCGGTAATTTTAAATATATGCTTTTATAGTTTATCTATTTTCACTATTTTCAGGTTAGGAAAACTGCTAGTATGACTCAGTTGAACAAATCGATTCATTCAATTAATTAATCGATTTGTAGTTGACGTTACAATTGCCCATCACTAAACCGTCTGTGGTCGGGTCAGTGTTTGTTTACTTTTTCTTTAAAATGGATTGAAACGAAGTATAGGTACTTCTAGCAATACTTACATGTAACTTTGAGGAATTTATCGCTCCCCTAACGAACAATAAAACGGCCTCGTGAAGTTCATAAATTATAATATTTCGTAGTTTTACAAATAACATCTATCAAACCAAGAAAACACAGACATATATCTAGATAGAGTGTACGTACTTTACGTGCTCAAAGTAAGCGAAATTTACGCACTTGCCGTTGCTACACTTCAGAACACGCTCGACCGTTATCGTAAATAAACACCAGTCGAAAACGCGAAAAATGCGTAATTCTGCCATTATACACTACAAAAGCACTATAACTTTGGGTAAACAGGTAAATAGGAACGGGCAAGTGATTTTGTAATCAGAAGATGCATAATTTATTTTAAAAACAATTATTTTGGTTTCGTATGAATTTCAAGAAGACAAATATGCAACCGAGTGTATGCCTCATTATTTGTAATATATTGCGGCTTTTACTTGGTGCGATATATTTGTTATCCTTTGTTAATATGCCATGAATATCAAACGAACGCACTTTTGTATAATGCATTAAGTTTCGTGGTACGGCCGCTTGTACATTTCTTTGACCAAATTTAACATTTAGTGATGTACATACGTTAGGCAACACTGTTCTCGATTCTGATCGATTTTGAAATTAAAGGGACAAAATTATTATGACCTTAGCAATATTATAAAAATATTCTATAATTGTTTTGTTATAACGTTTAGTAACGTTTATTTTTTTCAGTTTTGTAGTACTTGTTATCAGTAGTATCTGTAATTTCGATAATTTTTGCAGCACGTTGACTCGAATGTCCGAATATAGTGAGCAAATAAATACATCATACGTATGAGTCGTTGTTTTCGACGACGAAGGTGGTCTAGTTTATCCCACCTAAGATGCTATCCAAGTATGCAGAGTAGCAGAGTTAGAAATCCGAGAAATAATAAACAAATCACAAAAATTTCACATAGGGTCTTCATTAAGTAAACCTCTTCTGATTAATAAGATTTTACCATATTTTGTCAGCAGTAATATTTTCATTGGTCTTACCATTAATCAATTAAATCAATTACCAACAGAAAACCATCTAGTAAAATTAATTAAGGTAGTCGCAGTTCATATATTGACGTGCGTTTTCATTATTTAAGTTAATCGATAAGAACAAAACTACAAAAAAATGTTGCATAATAAGCTCATTTTATTGGCAGGACAATAATTTTAATACTTGAAGTCGATTAAAAAGTTTTTAAATTTTTTAAGAAATCAAAATTTTTTAAAAACAAGTAAAGTAAAAAACTTAACTATCTTATTCTAATTAAATTTTTATTGAATTGATATTCAATTATTTTTTTGTGAAATTACTCCACTAGTTTGTTATAATTATTAATACAAAGATCGAACACTGTCAATATAATAAACAAACGCATGAAATATAGAGTATGTCAACCCATCCCTCATAAAACTTCTCTTGCGGCTAGACAGTACTATGTTCGCAGTTCCTCTGTATATAATAAAATAAACAAAATTCTGGATATCTACACCTTACCATTAAGAAAGCTTAAACCTACATTGAAGGACTGGTTACAGAAACTAAGTTTTGCTGCAACGGAGGACTTAATTACTAAACCATGGTAAAGCTTTTATATACATAGTTCATATATATACATAAACTGATTTTTATGGACTGAATCCACACGTACACAAACACGCACACACACTAACACACACACTTACACACACACACACGCACACACACACACACACACACACTCATACACAGACACTCACGTTCCTTCACACCACACATAGTTTATTATAATTTATTTGTCATACTTTACCTGCACTCTCTTGTCGTGTTAAATGTCTTTGGCATTATAATGTCTGTAAGAAATCTGGAGGAAGACGTAGCGTCTGTCATACAGTTTTATTAAAAACTAGTACGGGCGCTATAGATCAACCATACTTAAAATGTTCCTTAAATAATGTCATGTAATTTTTAAGATACCATGTAATTGTATTGACTCAATAAAAAGATATTATTATTACTCAGAAAAAATTCCTTCGATCCGGTCGGATTCGAACCGACGTCTT